ACTAAGGGCAATACATCCATAATAGTGCTATGCAACAGATTTACCTATTACTTTGTCTTGTATCAGTTCGTCTAATAGAAATCAATTAATAGTCAATGTATCTCTTTGACATTGTTGCATACTTTAAAGTGAAGTCTATGAAGTTGTATACGTGTGTAATATTCACCATTGTTGAACGATGATTCTTCCATTCTTTAATTACTTGCGCTACAATAGATGTTTTCAATGTCGCTAATCTGAATAGCCGAAAAAGGTAACACTTGAAGAGCGAGAAACGCCTGAACTTAGACATTCACCTGGACTAAATGATTGTATGGATACTTACTTATTCCTGAAATCATCGAAGTAAGTTATTATTGGCCAATAAATCTACGAACATAAGAATCACTGTCAAGCTAGACATTTGTCTGACGAAACACTGGGTTCTGCAGATGGGTCAATCATGTCGACTACTCATAACGCAAACACCGAATATTGTGCCACTTGACGTGGAAACAGAATTTTGAGTAGGAATGATCTAAGCTCAGAACGATATGTATGCACTGTAAAGTGATATTTTCCTGCTATTTTCATAACATTTAGACACTTGATATCATGAGAGAGTTTAATATCCTCCCTATGTACCATTCAAAACTTTTATGTTTCTCTGCAATTATCAATTTGATGAGGCCTGTAAACCGGCTTCTCTCATGTTAACTTCAAACCTTGAGAATAAGGTATTTATATATTTATTGGAGTGCCGACATCTGCGTGTCACTAAAGTTCAGGCCGGGTATCGGGCAACTGAAGAATCGCGAGGGGCAGTTGAATTTGGCTTCAAATTGTTCCATACAATGTTCCAGCCGCCCACCCTAGGAGATTATCAGCGTCCGTACTCTTTGGTGATGGTTTCCCTTACCGTCGTCCTCTTATTGCCGATACCCTTAGTATGCCTGGATAGTTAGTGTGTCACCTACCACTGGTACCTCCTCCATCTCTGTCGCTTTCGTTATGAACCACTGCTGGGGATCAATGCGAAGACCCCTGGTCAACTCTTCATCGCAGCCAGAGCAAGTTGGAATCGGTCTCCTCGCATCTACTGGTTTGGATGCGTCACGGAAATTCAGCGATGTTTGCAAACCTTCACATAAGGGTTTCGAATCGCCTTCACCAACGTTTCAACAGACTCACTATTACACCAGGATTCCCTCGGATAAGCACTGCTGTCCTTTTCGGGTAAATGTTTAGCCAACTCCTCCCTAGGTACGTACTTGACGCCTTCATCTACCGATCGAGCACGGACAGGCCTCAGTGCTCCTTGTTTTCTTCGGCTGGTAAGGCACAGACACAAGCAATCATATGCTAGGGCTTGATTAGATTTCAAACAGATGCTACAGAAAGGGTGGCAATCTTCCACCGATCCCCTCCGATAACGGCTTATAGCAATGTGATCTGCCTGTGTTCACGGCTGGTTTGACGTCTGCAGGTGCTACGCGAGGCGGCATCTCTTCTTACGCTCAAAGTTGGCGCCGGCCAGAAACGAGTTATTGTCGGGGCAAAATTGCAGCAGACGATCACCGTTTTCGGTCCGTTGACGTGGGATCCGGCAAATAACCCCAAGATGCCTTTCCGATTGGCTTCACTTACCTACTCGAGGGTCAGCGCCATTATGACAACATCTGAAAGTTTTGCTTTCCGCGGCAAAGTTGACATCCCCGCATGGAATTCATCTTTTGCATCATCCGGAAAGCAGTGGGTAGGTGCGTGGATGGAGATTACGAATAGACATCGCCCAGTCTCACGATCCATCCTAGTCCTTGTAGATTTATTCACTTGAACAGCACATGGGAAGCTGCTGACTGGTATCCAGTCGAGAAGCGCACTTCTGCTCCACAACTCAGTGCTGGACCACACCAGAGAGTCCATGGGGGCCAGTGACTGGGTCTCCGGATACTCTTAGGGTGAGTTCCGGAGGTTCACTTCCATGGCCAGAAGAGACCAATTTAATGACCACGCTCAGGCCCTATATATGTGCTGCAGAGACGCAGCATACCTCCATGGCTGGGGGTCCCGAGTTCTGGCCAGTGATGCTTACTGTTCGGTTCGACAGAGTTCGGAAGTTGCAAGATCTAACACGAAATCGATGGCCGGGTCTTAGAAGACTAGAAGTAGGGCTCCGATTACCTTGATCTTTAAGAATGGTTGCAGAGTGAGAGATTCGGCGGAAGACATAGGGCCTGGCATAAGTGTTACTGAGTGAAGGCAAGGGAAAAAGAGTTGGGGAGGGTGGACTATGCTTGACTGGGTCTTGTATACTACTGGGAGCGTGTGGGGGGTTTCAACCACCCACACCATGGCCAGGTTATTTCTTCACAAAGCACTTGAAAAACAAAGGGATCGCAAGACCCACGGGGCACCTGTTTGAGTCCTGACACAACGGCATTTTACGGCATGCCGTTTCAGGGTGCTCGTTGTTCCAACGCCGGTTGGGAGAAACCCGTGCCGTTGGCACCAAAAGACAGTGGAGCGGGTGAGGTTTCTCATTCTGGGACCTTCTTTTCTAGCCCCCTCTTCCCGTTGGGAAGGCAGTACAGGTGTGGCACCGCTGACCGTTCGGGGGAAATATCTTAAAGCTACCACACCCTGTGCGGCTGGTAGTACAACTTCTCTCCCTGATCCCCGTCGCAGTGTGGTAGTTTTGCACCACAACGGTAATGATAACTGCTCTTCATCTTGCCACTACTCACTGAACCTTTCTGGAATGGTAGGACATCGAAGGAAAAGGCTTTCTACCATAATAGCTCGTAATGCCGTTGTGACTTGCTAACCCGACCAGCACATCAGGGTGTGTGACACCATGGTTTTCCACAGACATTTGATAGCCATAACTCTCTGGGCATTGATCGCCGTAAACAAGACTGTTCTCCGTTCTAGAATGAATCACTAGTTCTGATTTCCCGCACGATAATTTTATTGAATTGCTCTGACAACAACATGAAACAACGAAAAGTGTCTATGTACGTTCGCATTTTTACTTATCTCCACTTAGCCCACATTTGTGAATCATTTTAACAGGCTGTTTCGTTGGCCCATCGCCTGGCTGCCCACGAACGTCAAGAGTGAAGAGGTATACACGAAACACTCATGTCCGATCAGCACGGTGCCGGTTGTTAAACGGCAAGGAATTAAGGAGTATTTTCGGCCTCCTGTTCCTAAAAATCGGGCTTCGTACACAAACACCACGTTTCTACTTTATCTGACTAGAATGACACCAGTTGAATAGGTTGCGTATTCGGTTTAATGTGGACAAGTTAGGAATTGTAGTCGCACATTGACACGAAAGCCTAAAGTGCAAGCAAGAAGACTATCGGCATGAGAAAATGCACAACCACAGGAGGGGGATGAGCTCAACGGTTTGAAGTTATCATGCGTGGTCTGGGGGAACTCAGAGGCTAATCACTTATTTTCCGCACGCGTCGAATCCCCACGACAGCCAACTATTAATCTCATACCTGTAGAATCATGCCAATAAACAAAGATACGTGCGATACCTGGTCAATGAATAGTGACCAGTGCATGCAAACTAAGGGTGTCAGTAACAATTTCGAAAACCACCGAGCATTGGGTTGTTGATTTAGGGAAACTATTTTGATGTTACAATACCACATGAATGGTCGAAATACATCAAATCATACTGCGGTGAAACACCTTGTATTGGAAGCAATCTTCAGGAAGCCCTGGACATTCGTTTTTACTCCTTTTGGCACTTATTGGGAAAGCAGATAAGCAGAAGACTACCCCACAGGTGGTCTGCAGCGATCTCAAAAGTATCATGGCGTCAGTGGGTAGTACAGACAAGAGCGGTGAAAACTTTGGAAACTTGATCCATGGAATTCCTCCAGCAGTCAGGACAATGAATCACGACACTTACTATACCCAGTGGCCACTCACTGTGTACCACCCTTGAAATCTGGCGGTTGTAACATGTGGCTGGTCTTTGGACATTTTGATTACTGGTGTTTCCACCACACCTTGAACGTTTTCAGTCACCCCCATCTAGAATTTCGAGCCTTCATCTTCCCCTTTCACTTTTAAAGTATAAAGACTAACTGTAATAGATCGGCACGTGGATCGAAGTTGAAGTCATGAGAAAAAAGTGTGGCAGCACCTGATCTTGGAACATAGGTGACTAAAGAGGGACCTAATAATGACTTACTGTATTTTACTCACTTCAAGCTATCTTCCTCAGCATTTTCGCCTGCTAAGCCCCAGAGTTAATGTCACATAGCGCACCCAGAAACTGAGATTTTGACGCAGTAGGTGGACAGTAGGGGTAACTTTCACTTCTTCATCGTCCTTAAGACTGTTGTTGTTGTCCTTGTAGAAGTTGTCCGGACTACATCATTAGAACGAAGACTACAAAAACAAGCGGAATATACACTTATAGTCTTAGCATGAGCCTCCATACTAAGTCGGCAATAACCTGTCCTTGTTTCTACTTATTCTTCACCTCAACACATAGGTTCTGAGACATGGGAACCGGTGGTACGCTGATATTAGACGCTGAACCCATTTATAAGAAAGCATCTGTTCCGCTAACAGCCATTTGAAACCACCTGAAACATGACATAGGAGAAGCCACATGATATCGCTTATAAGCAAAAGCAAAAAAATGGTAGGATATTGTAAAAGGGATGGTCAAACAACTACCACCAATCTGTTACGCAGATGCCACTGCACGTAGATAGGAATGTAAAATGTCTCTTGTGGGTATCAAGCTGTATAATGACTCTTCAGTAGTACTTAGCTGAGCCAACTTGGCAACATCGATTAGGCATTAGGGGGTATTTGACATGGAATAATCTAAAGTTTTGAGTCCAGTTGTTTCAGCATAATATGTCTTATGTAAAAATGCTGACAAGTAACACTAGAGGTGAGGTATTAACTAAGGTAGACGGCAAAGTATGTACAGCTGATAGTCTTAGGTCGTGAAGCATATTGACCGTTCACACAACAAGTTTGTAACATTGAAGTTCTAATCTTACAGTAGTCCTAAGACGCGCTATGATTGAAACCCCCGCAACTGTAACCTCTGCCACTCAAAGATTAGTTCCTAGGAGGCAGACAATCGAAGATGCATATTCGCCACCAGCAAATTTTCTGGAGATTGATGTGTGCCGTCCACTTACCCATGGAGATGGAAAGCACCGCTTCACAGACTACGAAGTTAATCTAAGGGTATAATTTACCAACAATCTAAGCTTCCATTTATTCCAGACAAACCTACCAATATTTGCCCACAAGGAATCATCTGTCCGTCGTCGCTACAGCGATTTTCAGTGGTTACGTGATGAGTTAGATCGAGAGAGCAAGGTACGATAAAGTTACATGCGCATGCAGTTGAACCTACAATTTTGTGGTCTAGGTGTATTGAATCTAATCGATTAGTTGGTGAGCTCAAACTCTGCTGCACTCCTGTTATGGTGGTCTTTTTGATATCAGTTAACTGTAATCGGATTGAGTTAAGAGTGTGACAGTAACTTGGGCGTGGTTACACTGCGAATTCCGAAGTTTTAGGTAACGGTGATAGACTATCGTTATTTGAATGTGTACCTGTCTAGTCGTTTGTAGCGCCAGGGAATGAGTTGTTAACCTAATAAACTGGTGATTGTTTTGTATGCTGTGTCATGCATTCGAATGAGATGAAAGCATATTGCTTGCTCGTATATTCGTGTGGATGTACCTTGCGTAAAGTGGCTGATAAACCTGAGTAGTCTTATAACGTACAATGATAATCTTTTACTGGTGAACTATTGATTGTTTGATGATCTATGTAAGGAGTTGTTTCAGATATGGAAATATTCACACCAATGTATAGTGCGTTTTTGAATTTAGTTATGTGTCATGGCTTCCATATGTAATTGTCTAGTCATTTTATTACTGCTTTGTAATATCTCAATAATCTGGCTGCTAATCACTTCTGAGATGGATTTAGTTATCTCTTGCTCGTGGCATCCTGTGGATGCATCCAGGGACTATGAAGGAAAGAAAAGTTAGTGACAGCTAAGTGTAGCCATGCTACAAAAGCTGATTACATGTGCTGAAGGTACACAATTAAGGACTAAGAACACAACTCTGGAAATTTTTTATGTGGTCTAGTCTGGTTCTCAATATGTTTACCAAGTATTAAAGTATTGATGAGTGTGTTCGACAGTCGACTGACAGGTTACTGTTTGTGAGTGAAATTTTTCTATTTGACACTAAATTTTATTCTTAGAGGGAAAAAGTGGTCATATCGAAACCAAGACCATTATGAAGTATTAGAGACGATTAGATGGGACGAATGTGATCTGATCTATCTAACGTTTTCTTATATGAATGTTAAGTAGTTCGTGGCATCATTTTGATGCAGCTCTTTGAACGTTCTTCAAGGCTCGGTTTGTAAATAGAAATTAGGTGATTGTATATAAGACCGTAGTATGTAGCATTGTAAACGGGCTACAGACCCTGCACATATTTCCTTAAACATTTTAAAACCGATAGCACCAATTGTCCTGGAGTGTTTAGTGGTTCTCAGATCAGAAATAGCTGTAACTGTCTGGTGTCTCGTAACTCGTTTCTGCTCTGATGATCAACATGTCATGTGAATAATTACCTGCATTTATTGGCGTTTTCTCAGTTGGTCTGCTTCGTCAGTGCAACTTGATTCGTCTAAAAGTCTGTAGTGTCTTCCACACTTTGTATTATTCTGCACACGTTAAAACTCGTGTATATACGGTTGAGGACATGGTGACACCCTACAGACCACTGACAAAGAAGCAAAATATCTTTTTTGTAAGGCTTTCGTTAGAAACTTCACACTGCATAGACTTCAAACTGGGATTTTAAGGCCTTAATCACACTTATTACCATTACTAGGTGAAGTTTTCTAATTGTGGGGTGAAGATACTTACAATCCTAATATTGTCTAATTTCATTCACTACCTAAAGTAAAGATTTATGAAAAGCTTTACTGTAGTTAGTAAGGAACACATCTGCAGACAACTTATATCGTAAGTCACATTAACCATCCATTGCCACCAGTAGGTTTTTGAAACATGAGTAACTTTAAGTCCATGCTCTTTTGGAGAAGGAATTGAGCTACCCAAGTACTCAGTCTTCTATTAGTTGACTGTTTCCTAATATCGTGTCCGTCACACTAATAAAATTTGTGGGACATCATTTTAGAGGATGTCCAAAAGCGGTTTTTAAAAACATATTGTGGCATCTTTAATAGCTTTTTAATCTCTGCTTAGATAGCGGCAGGTTAGATCCCTTAAATTAACTCGGCAGTGAAAAATAGAAGTTCTTTTAGCACTTTCTAAAGCACCTAATTTTTCCTTTTTGATTTTCGTACACTTAGTTTACGTGATATGTCGGAACAGCTTACAAATCATAGTTGCCTTGCTTTCTCTGAGCTGAGTGGTTTATGTAGTTGTGGAGTTACATGATATGAATATTGACAGTAAATTATGTCCGAAATGTTATCCAGTAAATGATACTGTTTCAGTGTATCGTCTCTAACAAACAGAATTAATTGGAATTACAAGCTACCACAGTGACCGAGTTTACTCCTATATTAATGGGTGGTTTAGTTATGAAGCTTTCATTCTCTGTCTAAACAACGTCAGCACTAACTTTAATATCATCCACCTGAGCTACGAGCATTCTCCATCACTTCAGTTGCACCTTAGTATATATGCTTTCGTCTGTGAATTGGGCCATGACTGTGGGTAAACGCCATCTGCTTTTGGTTGTCTGTCTTCATTTTCCCCAGTTCATACATATAAGAAGGATCACTCTATATATCAAGTACAAGTTTATTCAAAATGCTTTCAGCTTTACTGAAGTCATGTTTAAAGTTAGAGTGAAGTTCTAAGAGCACGCTTTATTCAACTCTATATAGAGTAAAGAACTTACTGCAGTAATCCACGTTTTTGAGTTGTAACCTATTTCATCTTCATCTGCCTATTATTGTTTTAGTGCCAGGTGTCCGAGTCACTAAGGACAGAAGCTGGTTCCCCGTGATTTTTTTTCATCATTTATCACCTAAAACTGAAATTTTTCCTATTTGATTTTTTTAAAGCGCTTGTACCTGACTCGTTTTACCTTTCGCAATGTGAAACTCGCATGAATTAGATAGCTCCAATGGTGCTTTCAGACAGTTCCACTGTCTGAATTCCATATGGTCTCTCTACCAGAAAGTAATGTATTTTGTTTGCTGGCACTCAGTATTCGAAAAACTGAGCTATGGGTCATTTGTGCATGACTTCCAATCAGTGGACCATGGGTTCGAAACCCGCTTCACCTATCGAGGTTTCGGTAGCCAGGTAGTATCTTCAGCCCTTGTACAATAGGTGTGGCTCATTGCCTACTACAGAGACACGTGTATGTGTTTCTTGAGTACATTTTTTCGAGTATTTAAGAACGCGGTGAAACTCGATTTACGATGCATGATCTTACATATATAGTCCTACCACCACTCCTTTTTGGTAGCTTTTAAAGGGTGTTTCTCAGTCTCTCACACATCGCGCTGTTAACAGTATGGTGACCTACTTATTCACACCTGTCATATTGTTGCCACCTTCGTAATCTCCAACGTTTCCATTCTTCAGTCATATGCTTCGGTACAAAGTTCGCCATTCACTTAGGGATGAGTGTTAGATTCTCATCATCGGGAGCGTCAGATGCACCTCCAACTTACTGCGGCTTCCATACGCTGTAGGCGAAAGATGCTTTTCGATTCCTATTTACTCATCACATTTTATGCTAGTGTTCAGCTAAAAGGGTCAACTAAATCTTCCACAATCTTTCCTGCATGAATTGTGAACCATAAGAAATCTTTCAGTTTTAAGTTAATACCACCTGAAGATAGAATAAAACGCTAGGATACATGACCATTTTGAAAAAGAAAATGTAGTTGACTAGAATCATACGAAAGGAAAGTGCTGTAAATAGTCACTTAAAAAGTTTCTCTTTTAATGGAAAACCATTCAGTCAATGCAAAAGCATGATAGTTTTTTATGTGTAAACACAAATAAGGCGTGATAGCAACTCAACGAGGAAAATTACCAGTGTTTTTTTTACGCTATCGTATGTTATCATAGAGTAATCACACTCTGGGCTATATTTTTGTTGACATGTATTTAGAATTTGAGTTAACAATGATCCCTGTTCGGAAAGTAAAACAGCACATCTAATCCAAATGTTTCAAAGAAACGCACTTAGCTATCTTGTGCACATCTGTGCAGTAGACAATGAGCCACATCTATTGTGTGAGAACTGGTGATACTACTTGGGTGTTCGAACCTCGGTAGGTGAAGCGGGGCTCAAACCCATAACCCAATAGTTGGTAGTCATCTCCCTAAACCACTAAGCCACAGTTCCAACTCTTATCTTGACCAAATAGGTAGTATTTTGACATCCTCCTTGTGCTGTTCTTCCTCACTTATGTTCATAATAATCCTTTTACTCAGTGTCAGTTACAGATTAATCAGTAGTCACTTTTCCTTAACTTCACCTTTCATGCATCCACCTGACTGATATTTCCTCTTTCTTGCTCATACCAACTTGGTTACTTTTACGTGAATTATATAATATATATATATAATATATATATATATATATATATATATACACTTTAAACAAACTATTTTTAACTGTCTGATTTCGTGTTGGAAACTATTCAGATGCGATCAAATGGTGTTATAGCTCATAACAGGTATGATTTATTATTGAGTTTTTAGACATGTACTTCGTAGCCGACTTCTTTTACGCTCAGTAAGCTCTGTTTATTTTCCTGTCTAATTAATCTATTTGTTGATTATATTCATATTATGTTTAGAATTATTATAATACAATATAATGCGTTTTGTTAAGTGACGCTGAAATCATCTTATTATTTATTAGATTGTTGTTCCTCGTTTACCAAGCAAAGCATGGAAACGTCAGTTGCCTTTTCGAGCGGATGAAGGTATATTCGACGAGGATTTCATTGAAGAACGACGAAAAGGATTGGAGGAGTTTATCAACAAGTATTTTTTTTCATTTTGAAATATCTCTTTGGAAATTTTTTTAATTTGAGATTAGCATTGTTTGTGGGCATACTTTTGGTTGACTTTTATTAATAACCACAACTTGTTATTGATTCAGATAGCACAGTTAACGTCACCTCCATTTTCTGTTCAGGTGTTCAGTTCACTTAATTGTAAAATCTTTGCCATCTTTTCCAGCTATGATTCAGTGACCGAAGCACTGAATTACCACCAGTATGGTTTCTTGTTTATAGTTCCTTCAGTCCGCTTAAGTTTGAACTGCCAAGCTGCATTGCTAGTCCATATAAAGTAGGTGTAAGCCATACTCAGCTATATTTCTCCCTTTTTATTCATTATTGTCCATTACTAACAAATGAAGATTCCATAATTTCTCCAGCTTTTTACTCTGAAACCGTTGCCAAGATTTCAAGCCAGCGAAATACCATTTTTGATTTTTTTTCAAAATAATTTGACTTCTGCACGTTGAACCTTTCAGTCTCTATATAATATCAAAAAGGACTGTACGATCTACTAGGTAAAACTTTAGTGATTTGAAGTATGGATATTTATCACGTTTTTAAGACAATCGTACAATATTCAAGTGTGGTTGTTCACTTTACTTAAACTAATATATATGAAGAATCAGTGTAGCGTATACTTCAAATGACAATACATTCAGTTACTAGTCGCTAGAGAATTGCTGATGATTCGGATACCATTAATCCATTGAGAATAATGTTCACTTAACTGGATCCCAGTTGAAAGTCATATGTTGGCAGTTCAGTTAGACTTTTCTGTATGATATCAAAGAAACAGTGATATGCCATTCATGTATATTCTACGCTTACTCATTTATTATGATATATAGATTATGTGACGCATAAATTTCGTCAAAAGATGCTAATGCTGGAAACACTCGAATACACTGTCACTATCTGATAACATCAACTTGCGAATAGAAGGGCTAAGTCAAAGAAAAAAAGTCCTGGGAAGTATCTTTAAAATCTCATTAACAAGGTGTTCATTGTGTGGTTATCTACCTCAGTTCTGTATTGACAATTATTCATCTGTAAACAGAGTTATTTTCATATGTAGTTAAAGATATACTTTGACTCCTAAAGAAGGACAGGCGAATAAGCTTGCTAGTGACCATCGCTTGTGAGAAGAAATGGAAGATTGATTTAAAAGTAGAACTGTGATTTAATGTCACTCTATGTTAGTTTTTTTTGTTTGATATAACACTGTGATACAGTGTTATCTACTAGATTACGTTTTAAATACAATTTGTTCATCACACCAAGGTATTCACATCACTTCCAATATTCATTTTTCAGCGTTGTTTCTTTCGTCGTTTTGAGTAAAAACAAAACAAGGATCCCTAAAACTATAAAAGAAAGTTCAAAAGCTTAGTGGTAGTCTTAGTATAATCTCCACATTAATGAATGAGTCTCCAAGGTGTAGGCTATTATATTTATCTAAAAATCCTGATAAACAGCTATCTTTCCGCCCCGCCCCCCCCCCCCTCCTACATACTTACTTCCATATGTACTTTTGAATTGATAAGTATACTTCGAGTTATCGATAGTCAGAAAATAATCTGATATAGAGTATACAATTAAACTCGTCGTTTAATACAATCAGACAACCTTCGAAATTGAATAATGCACTCCTAATTCGTCTGTTAATTCTCTTTGGAGCTTGACTACTTTAAAATCATTGGTTTATTTTCCATAATGTCGTACTATGGTCTTATTTTTTCAGTATTTTTTGCATGAAATTCACCGAATACCAGTTGTTACTGAGACAGTGTTCAATCTGCTTAATTTCTACTTGCCATCTCTTTAGAGTAAAATTTTTCTGCTCTTTATCATAGCATTCTTGCCAAACTTTCATTGTAACTTATCAGATGAAGCTGTTAAAGTTTAAGTATTGACAGCTTGAAGCAGTTTGATGGTTCATACTTGTCTCTATTTCGCCATCCTTTTAAAGTTTTATGTGTAAAGCGAAAAAGCTTAGCCCAACGTTCCTCATCGTATACATTTGTAATTTCAATACTAAAGTCGGCATTATTGAACCTCTAGAACAGCTTTGTTGTTAGTTGAATATTTTCGCACAACACACTTCAATAAAATGCGTCGATGATGAAGTTGAGCATTGTGCTTTGTAGATGTAGCAAAGATACTGGTATTAATGATCTTAGTAGACTTTCGATCACTATTCTAACTATCTATTTAGAACACTGTTAAATTAAAAGTCGACTGTCTTTGATTCATCTAAGCAAGAGACATCTAAACTAACTTTGACAGCGGAACTTCTTCCATGTGTTCGCAGACTATGTTGATTATTTTATGAATAGGGATTTCTACTAATAAAGTTGTGAAGGTGTACAGTACAATCAACTTATCCAGTGTTTTTAACTTTTTTTTTCAACCAAAAAAAAAAATCAAAAGTCCGTATTAACAACTTTCAGCAAATCATTTCTAACTTTTGCTACCATCAGTAAGAAAGTTTGCGCTTCGGTGAGTTGACCATAGAGTTAGTCACATCGGCACATCAGCCTTACGTATCTTTGACCATCCATACTTTGATAGCGAGACAGGATCTTATAAATTTAAGTCTATTGTAGGTTTTGCTGCCAGTCAGCTGTCTTTACTGGAGTTCTCTGAGCTCTTTAGTGATTCTTATCTCAATAACTTCTGTTATCTCTTGATATCATCGTTTTTAAATCGAGAGATATCATAGAATCTCTTCATCCTGTAGATAGAACCATCCTTTATTTAGTATCAGGACTGGAGTTTTTATCATCTCGAAAAGCTACAATTTGTCATTTTACACGTAGTACTAGTTGCTGATATTGACAAGTTTGAACTTATATTCGTCAGTGGATTGTAGATAGTACAGTTCTTGAAAGCAGTTCTCGAACGGGGTTTCCGTATCCATTCTGCCGAAGACCCTTGTGTAAATGTAAAATTGAAAACTTAGGAAAACAGCCTTTTGCTACATCTGGTTCAACTGAACACCTGATAGATGTTTATATATATAATATCTAGTTTTTCAAGAATTTTAATATAAAGCTTGTTTGTGACTACAAAGTTAGGAATTTGAAAGCCCCTTCACCTCGTTTTTCAGTGTAGTTGAATATCTTGGATAAAATCACAGAACTTCCTTCAACACTCGATATTTAAAGTGAGCATATACTTGTTGAAGCTAGTGAATCTGACACTCAAATTCTCTATCAAATTCATTGATTATTAAAAGTGAGGTATGTTTATTCCCTGAAAGTTTTGTGGGGCAATGGCAATTTCTATAAACGCAGCAACTTAGAGTTGATGCAGTAAGTATATAATCTTCAACTCGCCTATCTCAATCATTATTCTGCATCAGATCTCCACCAGCAACAGTTGGGTGGGGGAGGGGGTGGGTTGACTGCTGCTGTCGTAATTTTACACATTTAGTTTGCTTGGTATATCTGAGCAAGGCATAAAGCAGCACTTTTGATGAACTTCACTTTTGAAAATGCTACAGTTGTGAAGGTTGTTTTGTTTAAAGAATAAACCTCTATTACTCTTGTACCGGACTATTAAGGTTTGTATGCTTCACCTCTATTTGGTGTAGGTTATCATCTGCTACTGTTTACGTCCAAGACTTGTTGACCATATAAGGAGTGCTTATAATAAGCCTCAGAATCCCTATTTTTTCTGGTTCATATGACATTATCATTTTCTCACTATCATGGGTTAGTATATGTATGGAAGATAGTGGTTTTGCTGTTTTTTTTCTTAATGTTGATTGTCTACGTGATATTCATATACTTAATCTACTTCAAGTTGATATTCATCATGAACTGATACCAGTAAGAAAACCACTGGAAACTTCAAAGCACTGAACAGCTGTTTCAACCTACTACGGAACTCTTCAGTTGTACCAAGGCTTCCAGGTTTCCAATGATTCTCCAACTGATGTCAGTTCGTTATGAATATCACCTTGAAATCGGTAAATCCCCATAAACTTCTAAATTAAATCTAGTTGTTTGAAGTTTTTTTTTTTGTGAACAATAATTTTCTTTCGAATCATTTTGATTTTAACATTGACTCAATGATTTAAGTGTTAAAGAATCAGCTAGTGAGTGAGTCACAGTTTCAAACTGACTTTACCAATCGTTGAGTTTAGATAAACAAGTAGATAGAATAAAACTTTACATAATAGATATGTTCAAATCAAAGTTTAGTATATAAGTCTATGCATGTTAATAAACTGTAATGAAACTAAATTAGTTTCTTAACAATGTTCCAATCTCTGTTGATATTCCTCCTTGTCCAAACTTGTATTTTCATACTGTAAGTCTGATTTTTTTCACAAAACAAAAGTCAAGATTTGATTTGAAGTAAATGGATAGAAGTAGATAGTGTATACTTTCTATGTAACTTCACTTGTTGTAAACACTTAAAAGAAGTCGGATAAAAGAAAATAACTAAATACAGCCCTGTATTGACACAAATTTTCATGTGTTACTAAGCTTACCAGAATATACAAATCATGGTGAGTGGCGTAAAGCTTAAACTTTTTAAGACTGAACTCCACTACCAGACCTATATCAAGTTAGTTTTACAAATCTTTTCCACATTTGATTTGTTTATTTGATATAGTATACACTAATATAGTATTATTCAAAAGATTACAGAGAACAGAGTAGCATGGAGACGTGCTACTGAAGCTCTATGTTCCACTAGGAACCCAAGGGACAAATAATAATAAATATATCGAGTTAAACAAATCTGATATGGTATTACACTTTACCACAGTACCTAAGTTTTACACTTATATATACGAATCTTTTATTTTCTAAATTATTACTAGTGTAAGACACAAATTCTGCGTCTTTTTGGTTTCATTAAAAAAAGAGTAGAGAATAACAGTAAAATTTCGACTGATTGACCTTAGCTAGTTGCGTAATAAAATTTTAATGACAATGGTTTTTCGTATCATCTGATGCATGCTCTTTATATATATATATATATATATATATATATATATATATATATATATATATATATATATATATATATATATATATATATATTTACTTACACTAGCAAGACTGACTGACATTGTCAACGTAGAACCTCTCACACGAATGCGTCGGCTCATCTTACCACACTTTACAGTAGTATACAGATAACAGGTAGATAGAAAAAGAGTGATATCAAAGTAGATAAAGTAGTGTGAGATGACAAACCATATAAAGATAAAGGTTAGTGTAAATATTCAAGCTTTAGAGGATGTCAAGAAGTGAATACATCTGCACTATTGTGAGTAATTTTCAGCCATGTTACCAAGTGTGTTCAACCCCTGATTCGTTTCGTCTCAGCTATCCCAACCAAGTGGTATACATCTCCCCACCGGGACTTCATGGACTGGTGCCAATTTTTCATCTGGTTACCCTGAGCCCGTTTTTCATCCTAATCCAATTTCGTTGAGGTAAACTGTGGCTGGGCACACCCAGTATATGTTCAAGCCGTTTCAGTCGACCAGTGCTCACAACCTCATCAATTGATTTGCCTGTCTTGCCTCATACCTTTCGTCTGACCTCAACATTACTCACTGGGTGGTCCCACCACACGCAAGCAATGGTACAAAGACATCTATGATCAAAACCTTGCAACTGCTTCATGTCATCTACTTTCAACGGCCATGTCTCACAGCCGTATAACAGGACAGAATGGACTCCAGTACACTATACTCTTCCTCTGGTAGAATGCAGGGTAATCTGGCTACGCGGCGCCACAGGTGACGCAAGTTGCCTAATGTCAAACGGGCCTTCTGTTTCCTAGCTGAGATCTCGTCAGCAACCAGCCCGTTTGGCAGGGTGACAAAACTTCCCAAGTAAGTGAAATGGTCGACACATCCCACTACTTCACTCCCCTATCATTAAGCTGGGAGTACTTGCAATAGATTAGTCCTGATGCATTATCTTACATTTGACGCATGCCAAGCATACATAGACTTCTGCTCAAGACGTTCAGAAGACCCTGAATTTCATCAGCATCCTCACCTAGTAGGACAATATCTTATGAACATTCCAGGTCAACTAGATAACCAGGGAGTAGGTCAGTCCCTGCGAAGTCAGAGGTACCTAAGGTTATGTTCATTAGTGCATCTATGAAGAGATTAAATAGGAACGGTGACGGTGGATATGCCTAGTGGACACGACTGTTAGTTGTCAGCTCACCTGACAAGTCTCCATAATCCCTTACACGGCTATGTGATTTCGAGTGGAGAGCTTTGGTAGGCATTATATACTTTCTCGGCACTCCCTTTTCAGTTAAACACTGCCACAACACCTCACGGTCGATAGGGTCAAATGTTTTCTTTAGGTCAAGAAATATGACAAGTGTCGGTTGCCGGTAGGTATGCCTGTGTTCCAGAACCAGTCGGAGGGTGACAACCTGATGGATGCACCCTTGACCAAGTCTGAAACTTTGTTTGCCATGGGACCAATGTAAAGAAATGTTAGGTGACTGTAGGCTACTTTTTACTTCTTCGTTGACTGACTTCTACTACCTACTAACTATCGAAGTAACTAGGGCCTCATCGTAGTTTTCACCATATTATGACGTCAGTGAAATAAGTACTGAAGATCAGGTAACATTAGACAGATTTTAAATTGTGGTGTATGACTTGTCAACAGTGCCTACCTCCCGCTCCATTTAAAGATCAAGCCTGAGAGCTTCGTACTTTCAACTGTTGAGTCGGTGGTGAAATGTTTTAGACTTTTTTCAATTTGTGATGTAATAAAAGTAGGTGTAATTCCACCTAGTGATGGTTTATGTACTAGACTCTGAACCCCGCTAATTCGTGATATAGCGTGATCAGCAGCAACTTTAGTGGACCCCCTGTCTCCATTCCCTACTTGGTTAATCCCATAGACCACGACTGTAGTGTAAGAATTTGCTAAGCAGGACTGAGTTACTATTCATATAATCAGTTTGTAAAACCACATTTATTTTCAAGGTAGTTCTCATCACTGATTGGGACCAAGGTGAAAGAAAATTGAAAACCAGATGGCATTTGATATGCGAAAAGCCAGGGCTTATGTTCATTTGTAAAATTGGATAGTTATGGGCGTCTATCACAAATTAACAGCAGTTAGAAAATATGAATCACTCAGTCTCAGTTTGGCAGCTAAGCGAACAGTTCTAAGTTCCATTTTATATTGGTTCACTCCCTCCCTTTTGTGAAATCCTAAATTGGGAAGAAATATCTTTAATTTTCTGTGGTGATCATCTGGCCAATGTTAGTTCGTCAGTCCATTCATTGTGAAATCAGTCATTTTCTACCGATCCCCTTATTGAATAAATAATCAGTGCCAAATAAACTCTAAACCTTTTACACAGCTACCATGATAGTGTGTATCTAGTTGAAGTTCAAGATTTTACTGTTATACACCGATCTATGGCTTTAAATAAGCATAAGTTTTGATATTTAAGTATGATGCAGCTTAGAAATTTTATCGCATTGGTTCAAATGCATCCATACACACATTATCTTCATCCTAATTATCATATCGCATTTTTTTTTTACTTATTTCACTACCTTCTCATAACATTTGACGACTTCGATTAGATTTATTTTCATTTTTCTATCCCTCGTCGTGCTTGTATCTTGATGTGTTGGTGTCAAGTATGGGAAATTAGACCGTTACACTGGATTGCTAGGTCTCAAATTCATATTGACTGGTGGATGTTGATGTTGTCTTGTCAACACTAGGTAATAGAGTTTAATATCTGAAATGTAATGCAAATTTGTTTTTAGGAAAATTGTACTTGAGGCTTGTTGAATTTATTCATAATACTTGTAAGCATTATATGTCGCATTAATTTATCTATTAAGCCATCTTCGAGAACGAAGGTGATAAGAATGCCTCGTGTACGAGAAAGTTGCATTCCAATCCATACGGGCTGGTTGCTAACATAATCTCAGCTTGGATACAGAAGGCCCGTTTGACATTTGGCAGCTTGCGTCATCTCTGGCACCGACTTGTAATATATCGGACTGTCTATCAAAGGACGAGTATACTGCAATGCA